AAACTGCGTGTTGTGATGATGGCATCTACCGGAGATTCGATCATAGTAGGCCGTTCTTGGGAAAGTTCTTGCACCGTGGAAGTAAGCTCATCAATGGCCCCAAGACAGTATTCAGGCCACGATGTATCTCGTGCAGCCAGATGGCCAAGGATGTCCTTCGCCGCAGCAACGTGTCTAAGAGATTGTCAGTAAGCGTCGAACAAGGGAAGGAGATTTCAAACCTCATTGCACTACCCAGATGGACCTGCTTTTCAAAGGCAGCATGGATAAGAACAAATGCACTGATCCAGATAGACCACGTGAAGGAAGGCCACAGCAAGGGTGTTTGAGACTTTGCACTAGTTGAGTCCACAGATAACTGGTGGCGGTTTCGGTGTTTCTTGAGGATTATCAAGATGGACTTGGCAGCTGATATGCATGCTTGAAATGCGGATGAGTACGAGGATGAGGGATGTTCGGAGGCGAGGCCAGGTCTGTTCAAGCATATTGCTGATTCGTGTTTCAGAACTAGAAGCATAACCTTGTGATGTTCGGATATTGCTGGAGTAGTTGAGCTTGCATCGGCTAGATCGTCCTCTTCTACCGCGTCCTGAATTTCATTAAACCATTTAGCCAGCTCAGCTTGGACGAACGCTGCTCGATCTGCAGTATCCTGCCGTTGAAGCATGGACTTGTTCCTGAGCTCAAGAATGAGCCCGCGTATACGAGCATGCTTTGCCACGAACGTCAGAAGCTGTAATCTTTCCGGATTTTCTTCCCTATTTGTTATTGTATGGCGCTCCTCGCCAGGATAACAGACATCCAGGTCGTCATCTCGTATATCGAGAGGTAGCCCAAGAGACTGACAGAGAAGCCTTTCCAGGATGTAGATACACCAGAAAACCCTGCGGCGAACTGAAACCTCCTTATCTGTGAAGAAGGGGTATCGCGCTGGACATCGATGAAGGCCCATGTGAAATGCAGTCCTAACGATCAGTCCACCTAATCTCGATGCGGCGTTGAGACAAAGCATCGAAGTCAGGAACAACTGGATAGCCAAAGCGGCCTGAGTTGAGCGGATTGACGCCGGCTGGCTCAAAGCAAACTGAGAGCTGGCCAGCGCATCGTCGACACTGTTGAAAAGATATACTTTTGGGATCGGCTTCTTGAAGGGAGTGGCCTGTCGACTATCCGCCAACGATATAGAAAGAACAGACTTCAAGATGACCATATCGATAGGGTCAAGCAATAGCGTTCCATTCTTGGCAACCTCTTCAAACAACCCTAGGACGTGAGGGCCGTGAAGGAACGGAAGAACAGGATGCCACGCCTCGAAATAACTCTTGGACCACTCGACAAAGTCTTCAAAGGTCTCTTCTGCGGCCATGGAGTTTTCACAGACTTCATCATCTTTCCAAAGAAACTGCTCTCGATTTCTTCTTATCGAAGCATCCTGACGAAGTTGGTCGTCTTCACCGGGAATAAGCGTGTTGATAGTCGAAGACCCAGGTTCTGTAGTTCTTGATGCAGATCTCTTGGCAAGACGAAGATGAACAGCACGAATATAGTGGATTCCACTACCGCTTCCTACGAACCGAGCGGCATCGTGTTCACCTGTGTCGCGCATCAATCCATATTCGCGTCCAGGTTGTGAAGTCGAGTGCTTCCGTTTCTGGCCTTGAGGTTCTGAATGACCTAGGGTGGAGTGAGACGCTGTCTCGATGTTATCGTACGGTGAGTGATGAGAAGACATATTCAGATCACATCCTCAATTGCGGACTGTGAAATTTGGATGAACTGACGATGCTGCAGACTGCCAAGCTTGGAGGGAGTGAGCTGAAGCTGCAAAGGTGCTAGTGTCGCGCCCGGACAAAGAAAAGGCCGAGGCGGGGTTGAACAAGTCATTCTGTCTGTGGAGCGACGTTTTGACTCTGGGGAAGAACCCCGACCGATTTACTGATGCTGCACAAGGATTGGTCCTTGTGTAAGTGAATTGTCTACATGGCGAATAATGAGGCCTCGGCTGAGCAAGAAGCTGAGAGGCAGTTGAACCCGATAGCGTGCAGTCATTGTCGGCAGCGGAAGCGCAAGGTGAGATTTCATGCCCCAGTCTCAATTCCGGGGGAAAGATAATGCTTTTTACTAAATTGAGTACTCGCTAGTGTGATAGACAGTTGTAAGTGTTTCATATTCCCATAGGAGAGATCGTCGTGCTAACGGCTGATCAGGCCTCATTGTCTGCAGTGCACCAATGATCCTGCCAATTGCCATTATCCAGAACAGAACAAGAGGTATCACTGCCATGCTTATTCATATCGACTACTTTAAGTACTAATACAATAGTAGAGGTCTTCCCATAGGGTTTATTACAAGACTAGAGGCTCGTCTTGCTGAGACAGAAGAAGCTCTCTTTCAGCTCGTGCACTCTATCGATGAACCCAACAACAATCACATCTCACTCAAGCCTTCATCACAAAGAAAAGACGACCGTATAAGAGAATGGGATAGTCTTCCACTAAGAAATGTGGATGAAATAAGAACATGGTATCGAAATAGATCAGAGCAAACTCACTCGCCAACCCAGCACGAGGTTTTGATGGACGAAGACCAACGTGCCCGATCTATTCATGCCCCACCATCCGAACCAGAGACTATGGACCTTCCCAATGACCCTGTAGATGAACAAGGAGAAACGATTACGTTGCAAGATGCGGATGACGATGCTATGCCGAGGAATGATATTCATATCCAGGAGGAGTCTGGTGGAAGCAAAGCCAAGGAGATGGAGCAGAAACACCCGAACATGTACTTTTAGAGAACGTATTAATTGATATCACGTCACTGCTGACATGAAAAGATCAAAGAGAACCCAAAATCATAGATGCTCTTCCTAGCGTGCCTATGTATGCTCTGAAAATCCGTATCATGATTCAAAAGCCTCTCATCATGGTTACTCTGTCTCACACTATGGGCTTTGCCACGTTTACCGTACACCCCCTTGACCTGATGTTCGAAAACATATTCCAAACTATTTTGGTCGAAGGATTTTCTTGTGGGGAGCCAACTCCAACCGTGATCACGTCAGATGACGGGTTGTCAGGATGATGCCTGTCTTTACCATCTTCGAAGCCGAATGCCTAGTCTGTAAAACACATTATAAGAGATATCGAAACTCTCGGATTCTAAGTTTAGTTAGAAATTAATAGCTTGCTATTTTCGTTCTCATACGACTCTCATGTATGCGTTGTTATGCTGGATAATTCCAGTCGTATCCACGCGTCGAAGGATCAAGCCATCTTACCATGTTCAATTTCTAGTCTCATACGCTGAAAGCAGTTCTTAGCTAGGTGAGAAAACATATTTACTGTCATCGGAAAAGTCTAGTCTTATTCTGCAGCTTGAGGAACATTGGGCATAAATTGATTGTTAATACCGCAAGCATTGCAAAGCATCAGACCCTGTGCCCTACGCGCTTTGAGGCATTTCTCATCCTAAAGACAACCTGTTAGCCATGTTTAGTATAGCAAATTATGTCCAAGAACCCAATAGATTGGTGACTTTAGCTGTTAGTCAAAGTGAAGCCTCTGGAAACTTTCGGCCATTGGACAACTTGATGAAGGCGTCACCATTAGATAATGGCTTCTCTTAGCAAAATGGCGCCCACTAGCAGCCAGCTCAAGCGTTTGGCTGAATGCTAGCATAGCTTGCTGAAGCTACCACTTTTCTCTCCCACAGTATGAAAAGCTATTATGCATCGATAGTAGAATCGGGTTAAGACCCAGGGAAGGACCATGAAGAGCCAAAGTTCCGCGCAAATGAGATATTGCCTTTTGATTGCCGATTACGTATGACTTCAGCTCAAGAGAATTCACAATACAGAATAATCTGACATTCCATTACGGCATACTCCAAGATGTCGGGGGCGGGAAAACACAGTACGGCAATATCCGCCGCTGGTCAGTCTGAGCTGTAAACCATCCTTCGATCCAGCTGATGCACCACCATCTCAGCTCCAATAATCATCCTCGAGGGATAAGCCATGGCGTAGCGCAGGTGCTTTTTACTGATCGCTTATTGCTATGCTAAGGCTTAGTACGTGACACCAAGACTTTGCTTGTCTGTAGTAAGCTGATATTTTCCCGTTGCACAAGTACCATCATGGCATGCATGACCGACAGCCCGATGGATGCTCGGCGTAAGCTGTCTTTCCAAGGCAATAGAGCTCCATCTGAGCTGCTGCGCCATGGCCCCGGAAGAACAATTAGATCCGGCAGTGAGCTGAACCGAGGAAACATTGTCGAGTTTAGTGACAATAAGCTTGTTTCTTAGTCCACTGAGGCTTTCAATTCTAAATGCCGAAGACCCGAACAGCTCTCCCTCGAAAACAAGTAAATCATGAGCTACAATTTACTAGAGCTACTGCTCCAATGATCTACCATCTTGACCATCCACCAAACCACGGGAATGTTGGCAATAGCTTCGACAGCTCAAGCTAAAAGCCACTAAAAGCGACACAGGGCTGTAAAGACCAGTCCAGACCATCCGGACGGCGCAGTTACCGTATGCTGCGGTAAAAAGCCTAAGTCTCACTTTACCTAATTTGCACCGAGTCCTTAAGCTTAAAATAGGGCTAATGTGATCTTGGGGCTGGGGGCTGAGCCCGATCTGACGGCTTATTCTGGTGAGGGCTGTGAGACGTCACAGCCTCCTCCGCTGAGAGTCGGAGACTAAGCATGGCAGACAGACAGACACTTACTGCATTGAGACAGCTTCACTTGTACGCAAATCTGGTATAAGAGAGCAACGAACTCTCGTCGAAATGGATTTCTTTCTTTCTCATCATCACATCACAAAACATCAAATCAACAACAACTCTTTTCCTTTTTCTCTTATTTCCTTATTTTCCTTTGTCAGGTCTTATTTCCTTACAAACCTTCGCTTCTTCTCAGTCATCTGTCACAGTTTCTTCGTCGCTTTCCAAACAAAACCGTTTTTAATTCTTTCGACAATCTCATAACATTATGCATTCTACAATCTTTGCTCTTGTTGCTGTTGCTGGCTATGTCTCTGCTGGACCTACCGCCCGCTCTCAAACCGAGTGTTCAGGCGTTGGCCAGTTCTACACTTGTGCGAACAATGGCTTCCGCAGTTATTGCTCCGTTGATCCTTGTGCCATAAAGTGGTGCACTGATTTCGTCGAGGGTACTTGCGATCCCGTCTTCATCACCAAGCCTGTTGAGGGTACCGAGACCGAGACTGAGGAGGGAGAGCACTGGGAGCCTGAGACTACTCCTGCTTCTCTTCCTGAGGGTCAATGTGCTCCTGGCACTGGCTTCTTCCAGGTCTGCTCCAACGGCTTCAAGGGATGCTGCAAGTCCGACGCCTGTGCTGGCAAGGACGCTGTCTGCCCTGATGACAAGAAGGTCAAGCGTGCTGATGACCCTACTGTCTGCGCCCCCGGTACCGGTTTCTTCCAGTCTTGTTCCAACGGCTTCAGAGGCTGCTGCAAGTCTGACGCTTGTACCGGTACCGCTCCTATCTGCCCCGACAACAAGCCCGAGGCCCCCAAGCCCAAGCCTGAGACCTGGGAGCACAAGCCTGAGACTACCACTGAGACTGCTCCTGCTTCTCTCCCTGATGGACAGTGTGCTCCTGGTACTGGTTTCTTCCAAGTCTGCTCTAACGGTTTCCGAGGCTGCTGCAAGTCCGACGCTTGCTCCGGCTCCGCTCCCATCTGCCCCGAAACCGTCGCCAAGCGCTCCGATGACCCCACCGTCTGCCCTCCCGGAACCGGTTTCTTCCAATCTTGCTCCAACGGCTTCCGCGGCTGCTGCAAGGGCGACGCCTGCGGTAACACCTGGTGCCCCGACTACAAGACCGGCACCTACGAGCCCGCCCAGACATTCAAGGTCAAGGCTCGCTCTGATGGTACTTGCCGCCCTGGCACCGGTTTCTTCCAGGTCTGCGCCAATGGCTTCAAGGGATGCTGCAAGAAGGACGCTTGCTCTCAGAAGAAGCCCGTCTGCCCCAAGTAAGAGGCATTGATTTTTACATTTTCCCAGCAATGGTTTTACATTGGCATAGCGTTGCATAGAACATCACTAGCGTGCATAGATAGATATGGTGTTTGTCGATTTTGTTTGGAACAGTCCTTTATGAGTTATTATGGCATTGATTGAGCGACTATTCTTGATATTTACTTATTTAGAGCATTGATTTTGTCGGACACGATAAAAATCTAACTAATACACTCCTTTAAAAAAACCTTGAGTCTGCTGACTGAAACTGTGAACTATTGTCACTTGATAAGACGAGGGCTTCAAACATCCCTTGTGAAGGCCTCGCCTGGGTAACTGTAGAGGCTGCCTGCCCATTGCCCAATGATCAACCCGCTTTGCCATCTTCATTTTAGTGTAGAGTTTGCATCTGCGACTGAAGAAGGCCTCCTCTCTTGCCCGTTTCTGACAAAGTAGTACCACCGTGACATTCTGAAGACTCCCGTTGCAGCAGCAACAACCAGGAGAACAGCGCAGCAAAGAAAGCGAGTAGTGTTCCAGCAGCGAAAATGAGAAATGAGTTCCCCTATGAACAAAGTAAAGGCCACGGCCGAGAGTAAAGTTTGGTGCAAAAGCGCTCCTTTAGTGGCTGATTTCAGTCGATCGACGCTAGTTATCCACCCGCGAAAGAACCATGGCAAGACAAAAAAGATCAGAGAGAGAAGTATCAGGATAGCTCGAAGGATGTAGCTGTCGACTCCCCAAAGACGCTCGGTATATGTAAGCCATAGCATAGACTCTAGATGCAACCAGAGAAAAGCGGGAGGTGTAAACCTGTCAAAAGCTCTGAGAGGTCGTTTAGTCTGCGGGTCATCGTGTCTGGAGCCAGGAAGTTCGCATTCCAGGGTGATGAAGTCCAATAGGGGAGATAATATAGGGATTGATTGCATGACTTTCAGCGTGGCGATGATGCTGAAGATGTGTTGACTCGCGCGGGGTTGAGTCTTGGCCATAGATATCTGAATGAGTTCGTAGCCTATGACGAATGTATAGCTTGGCATCTCAAGCATCAAAGTCTACATCCAACGACGGCCTTTTTTTTTTTTTTTTTTTTTTTTTTGAGTCCATTAGTAAACTACTGCATGAAATAGTAACTTATTCTCATGAAACTGTCCAAAATTCTGTCTAAGACTTGAATCTATCAGCACCAGCCTTCAAGATCATCTCGAACAGCTCAACATCTTTTCTAGCATCCGCCGCGCTCGTCTTGGACACTTTCCCTCCAACAACACAATCATAAAGATCTAGCATCTCCAATGTATACGGATCCTCATACGTCGTCCTGATAATCCTCTCTTGGAATCCACCTTCACCAATCTTCTCTCGAATCGTTGTAATCACCGGTAGACCCTTGACGTAAGGAGAATCAAAGTTGACTCTCACGATTTTGTTAGCTGAGTAGACTTCGATGTGCGCATCGAACTGAGGTACACCACTGAGACCTGATTCATACGTGACAGGAAAGTCATCGTATTGAAATAGGACGCTGAAGATACCGGGGAGGGTCAGCACGGCGCCGGCGACGGATTTGGGCATGCCTAGAATCTCGCGCATTGCTGACAGATCATGGGTTCCAAGACTGTATCACAAGTTAGCGCTGATATTGCATGCTAACGTGAAGATCACTTACGCTCCCAGAACTCTCAGCATTCTTTGTGACTGAGGCGTGCTAGGCACTCCAAACTCTTTGACAAGAGCTTGCTCGAAGATATCAGCCTCCCGACGGCTCCTGTCCTGACCATCTTCCTCAGTGAAGTCATTGAACTTCTGAGGAAACGTGCCGTTCTGCTCAACAAATGTGGAGTTAGGGCCGATGATGTCCCTCACTCTGGCATACTGAATCTTCTCCATGCCCCCGACCTCTGCCACAGCATCAATAAAGGCAGTAGCGTAACGCCGCATAGTTCCAACAAAGACCTTGCCCTTTGAAGCCTTCTCCGCCTCAATAAGTCTATCTATATCTCGGAAACAAGTCGCAGCTGGTTTCTCGATAAGGCAGTACTTATCATTCTTGAGAGCGAGTATACCATGCTCCACGTGGTATGCGTCAGCGTTGGCGATCAAGACCACGTCGACATCTGGTGAGGAGCAGAGTTCTTCAGGGCTGGTGGTGGTTTTGGGAGTACCACCTTGGACTCTGGTGGTGCAATGGGCTAGAGCCTGCTTTGAGATATCGCATAGATAGGTTGTTTGGAACTTGTGGGATAGGAAGTTGATGTTGGGAATATGGGCGACTTGCGAGATCTCTCCGCAGCCGATGATTCCAACCCGAAGGATGCGATCTGAGGTGCTTGACATATTGATGGAGTGAATGAATGATTGGTCTTAAAGGCTGTAACAAAAAGGGTATAAGTCAGAGTCTGGATGAGTTAAAGAAGAGCTATTTATCCTTTATCTCCTCTGTCATCAATACGTAGTCCCCTGTGGGTTGGAGTATCACTCCCCCATCTGCATTCCCCACATACCGCTACTCCCCGACACCAAAAGAGCATTCAGCTCCGCTACTCCGCGAAAGGATCATGACTCGATCCCTGGCTCCGCACCATGCTAAAATGTAACCATGCTTTATCTTCTTCCCCACGGGGTCACCAAGTTTCCTCGGTTACGGGGAACGAAAATCCGGGGTCTAGATGAGGGAGCACCCAAACGCTTTAAAAGGAGCTTATTCCCCCTCTTGTGGACCTCTTCGTTCCCTCAAACCATCAAGTTATCTTGGTTCTTTGACGCGTTATACTCCCCGTCTTGATCTTGCATCTCCCACTCTGGCTTAGATTATGGGTGTCTTTTCACGAAAGAAAGAGGCCGAATTGGCTGTTGGATCGGAGCTCTCACGAGTACGACACCCCATTTCTCCCACCCATCTTTCGTTACACAGACTAACTTCTCTCCTACATAGGTCCTCCCTCAGAATCCAAAGCCATGGTACATGACTTGGCATCTGATCAAGCTTAATCTGTGCCTTTTGGTCCCTCTATTCTCTTCTGCCTCCGTTGGCTACGATGGTATACATCCATTCTCCTCACCGTTCTAGGCCCAACTCTGACATGCCTAGGATCCATGATGAACGGTCTCCAAACTCTGCCCCAATGGCGTGAGTTCTTCGGCAGTCCAGAGGGCGCGCTTCTCGGACTCATGAACTCTGTTTATCCTCTCGGAAAAGTCATCTCCCTCTTCGTGGTAGCTTATATCTGTGATCGCTGGGGACGCAAGCTCCCTATTCTTATTGGTCTCATCACCTGCATTGGCTTCGCAACTCTACAGGGCCTTTCGCAGAACCTACACAGCTTTATCATTGCGAGAGCTTTCCTAGGCTTCTTCACTAGCTTCATCGGTCAGCCTAGCCCCATCATCATCACTGAGCTTGCGTACCCAACTCAGAGAGGCAAGGTAACAGCTTTGTACAACACCTTTTTTGTAAGTCTCGACTCTATCTTGTTTGGGGCAACTATGCAGTATACTAATTGTATGCCTCAACTTTAGTACTTTGGCTCTATTTTCGCCGCTTGATGTACGTATGGCACCTTCAAGAACCCGACGACTTGGAGCTGGCGAATTCCGTCTCTCCTGCAGGGTGCATTGCCCATCATTCAGCTTCTGGGCCTTTACTTCCTACCGGAATCCCCTAGGTAAGAACGTCGGAATAATCTACGGTTTGCAAGAGACTGACGTATCCAACCTAGATGGCTTGTTTCCAAAGGCCGCAAAGAGGAAGCTCGAAAAGTCCTTGCCGAGTTCCACGCAGGTGGCGATCTCGAGTCTCCCCTTGTCGAATTCGAGATGCAAGAAATCGAGCTGGCACTTACCCAGGAAGCCGACGCTATTTCCGCCGTCTCGTGGGCTGAACTATTCCGCACTCCAGCCAACCGCAAGCGCACGCTTATTGCTGTCATCGTTGGCTGGTTTGCTCAATGGAATGGTGTCGGAGTCGTCAGCTACTATCTTGTTCTCGTTCTCAACACGATCGGTATTACCAAGGTCAAGGACCAGACTCTCATCAACGGACTTCTTCAGATTTTCAATTGGCTGGCTTCGACTTTCTTGGGAGCCATGATGGTTGATCGATTGGGGCGCCGGACTCTGTTTCTGCTCTCCACAGGTGGTATGCTTGTCTCTTATATCATTTGGACCGGCCTTACTGCGCATTTCGTCAGCAGTCACGATGAGTCGACAGGCCGTGCAGTGGTTGCTTTCATATTCATTTTCTATCTTTTCTACGATATCGCCTGGACGCCACTTCTCCAGGCCTACCCCGTCGAAATCTTTCCATATACCCTCCGAGGACGTGGCCTTTCCATCACCTATATCTCATCCTTCACTGGTCTCATTGTCGGCAACCAGGTTAACCCAATTGCTATGAAGGCTATCACTTGGAAATATTACATTGTCTTCTGTTGTATCCTCGCAGTTCTTTTCGTCATCATTTGGTTCTTGTTCCCCGAAACGAAAGGACATACGCTTGAAGAGATCCGGGAAGTCTTTGAAGGGAAGCTTGATGACCAGGATAAGTTGGCTAGGGTTGAATCAGCTATGGGAGAGGAGAGTACTGGCAAGAAGGGTAGCAATGCGAAGCAGGTTGAGCTCGCCAACTAAGCTTCCATTCACGGTACGTTTGGGTTAAACGTTAGGAGAATTGTATCAGAAGATGATTTGCAAGTTTATGCCAGTCCTTTCGGCTGCTCCCGGCACATCATATTTCGAACCAGATTAGCATTTATCGATACATTAATTATTGCGTGGTCGATCCATCTGCCGCTTTGATATCCCGATGCCTATGTAACGAACGAGAGATCGTGCCAAGTCCTCGGAAATATGCTCATTCGAATAGTTATCGAATATCCGTTCTTAACTTACCCGCATTGAGCTTATTGACCGGACCAGGACAAGGACAAGGACCAGGGGATTTCCCGTTGTTATGCCGGACTCCAGCCGGCCGGAGTGAACGAGGTCGTAGTCTGTAGTCGGGGAGTAGCGGAGTTACGCTAAACAGCGGAGAAGTTACTCCATCTCGGGCTGCATTTAGCCGAAGTTGATGGATGATGTGAATCTCGATGCCTTCATTTATTATCCTGCAACTTCCGCTCTCCATACGTCCAGTAGTCTTTGTCTCATACACCTTGTTATTTCACTCCCAGAATCTTACCACCATGTCTCAGTCAAAACCAACCCTGCGATGGGGTATCATCGGCACTGGCCTGATCTCATCATGGTTCATACAGGACCTCCTCATTGAGAGACAGAATGCCCAAGCGACACATCACATTCAAGCCATTGGGTCATCTTCCGTCGAAAAGGGGACAAAATTCGTCGAGACACATATGCCAGGACAGACTCAACTTCCATCCATCTACGGTAGCTATGAGGAGGCATACCGAGATCCCAATGTTGATATTATCTACATCGGGACTCCTCATGGCTTCCACAAAAAGAACTGCCTCGATGCAATTTCGCACGGAAAGCACGTGCTTTGCGAGAAAGCATTCACTCTCAATGCTAGAGAGACAAGAGAGGTTCTGGAAGCAGCCAAGAAGAAGGGCGTATTCATCATGGAGGCTATGTGGACTCGCTTCTTTCCTCTGGTTAAATCTCTCCAGAAGATCATCCACGAGGAAAAGGCCGTTGGTGATGTGGTTCGTGTGTTTGCGGACTTTGCCATGAATCAAAACATCGAATCAAAGGGTCCCGAGTCACGACTGAAAGATCTATCTCTTGGCGCTGGCAGCCTGTTGGATATTGGTATTTATAGCCTGACATGGGGCCTTGTGACCCTCGATGCAGGTGTCGGTGAAAAGGCTACTACACCAAAGATCACTGCTGCTCAAACTCTCGTCGACGGTGTCGACATTGGCACTTCGATCATCCTCTTGTATCCCGATGGAAAGCAGGGTATCTTGACCTCCAACTCAAAGGTCAAAACGCCAGAGGCTTTCTGCCGCGTCGAAGGCACAACGGGCCACATCATTGTAGAAGGCTTTGCCGGTTCGGTCCCCGCATCATTCGCTGTTTACAAGGATGGAGAGGCTGAGGGGAAGAAACATGAGTTTGAGAGACATGGTAAGGGATTTTACTGGGAGGCTGATGCGGTTGCTCTTGATATTGCTGCTGGCAAGGTTGAGAGTGACACTATGCCGTGGGCTGAGACTATTCGCGTCATGGAGATTATGGATGAGATTAGAAGGCAGGGCGGTGCCAAGTTCCCCCAGGACTAGATAAAATAAATGATAGATGTATTTGGATGACAACCGTAGAGAACACAACACCCTTGCTTCTGACGTGGCATTATGAGACCAATTTCGAATTCTGAGCTAAACAGGGCTAGAAGAGCTTAGATATCTGGATAAAACATCATAAAAACGAACTATTAGTAAAAGATGATCAAAGAATACCATCACACGAGGCTTATTAAGCAAAAAACTTGTTAGCATGGTATCGCCCGCAAGATAGTGCTGAGGGATGTAGGGTACCGGATGCCCCGCATTCAAACACCAACTACCTACCCAGTTCGAGTTAGTCTCCGCTACTCCGCGAGACCAGAGCTGCACTAAAGTCAACCACCACAAACTTAAGATCTCCGCTACTCCCCGACATTCCAACCAACATATGCAAGATCCTTCCCAGTTCCTCACTCCACAATGTTCAGCCAGGGCGGTACCAGCTCCTCGGATCAGCAGGGACAGGGCAATAAGCGACAACGCATGGCAGCCATGTACCATCGCAAACGCGCCGTGACAGCTTGCCAATCCTGTCGATTGAGAAAGACCAAGTGCGACAATGTTCGACCAGTTTGTGGCTTTTGCTCTAGGAGCGGTGCTCAATGTGTCTATCCTGGCTCTGGGCCTGATAGTGATTACTCGAGGTCAGTAACTGACTCACGATAAGTGTACTGCGACTAATATATTAGATAGCTATGATCCTGCCAGTTTGACGATTCTGGATCGGCTCAATCATGTTGTGTCTCTACTGGAGTCTCGGCCTTTAGCAGTACTTGTGAATGATACAGGATCATACGATTCACCGCATGGGGCATCTAGTATAGCAGCAGGGAATGCTAGTATCACTCAGCCATTGCGTCTTGCTCCAATACACGCATCGAGAGACTTGACGACTCTTGTCCCTGAAGATGACGTACTGCAGGTCCTCGACCGCCCTGACCTTCCTTCAGCATCTAACAATTGCGAGAGTATCATGCGGTGGCCAATATTTCAAGGCCTCGTGCCTGAGGCCCAGTCCTTCGTTCTGGAGCTAAACGAAGACGTTGAAGCAAGGTCCAGTAATGCTCGGGGAGTCTCAGCTGGAAGAGGCGTCCAAGAGGAGGATTTTATTCCTCTTTCCAAACGATTTCTGGCATACGTGCACGTCAAGAACCCGATTCTGGATGTCAAGGATTACAAGAAGAAGGTTAGAGAAGCAGCTGAGAATGGGCCACATTGGGATGGCGCGTCTTGTCTGGTAGTAAGCATTCACTCTATTCGTTCCATTGGATGATACTAACCGTTCCAAGCTGATCTCATGCGCAATTGCATGTCTCTCCGTACCCTTTCACACGGAGGCAGATGTTGACGGCTCTCCTGCCTCAACACGCTCATCGACAAACACTGTTATAGACCCGGACACCGCTGCATCATACTATCTAGCCGCAAAGAAACGACTTGGACTGCTTCAGCCATCACTTTTATACATACAGTGCCTATTCCTTTGTGGTATATATGAGATGTACTGCCTTCACCCACTACAAGCTTGGTTTCACTTCAATCGCGCCTGTGTCGATTTACGAAACATCCTTTGGACTCGCAGTCAGAAGAAGTCGAACCAGGCAACCACACAGGGAACTCGCCGACTTGAACAAAGACTGTATTGGTCCTGTGTTAAAACAGAATAGTAAGTGAAACCAATCATTAGGTTTGGATAAACATGGCTTACAAAGTTTGCCACAGTGAATTGCGTTACGAGATACCGTTACCACCAAGCGGTATCACGCAGTGTGACTATCCAGACATGTTTCCATCACCACCAACAGAACTGACCTCTCCATCGGCCTATGATCAGAGAGACACATTGGAAGACGATATTGTTCCCGAAGAGGAGAAGAGTTGGTTCTATTATCTGGCCGAGATTTCCTACAGAAGGATGATGAACCGAGCCATGGCCGTGATGGCCCGGAGTGGAGAGCAAGGTTGGAGTGATAATATCTGTGAAGCTATGGAGCATTGCAAAGAATTCAACGAGCAGATAGATCTTTGGCAAGTCCTTCGTTCAAGCAAAGAAATTCGCTAACATGCGACAGGTATTCGCACATTCCACCTCAAATCGACCCAAAGAATGCAGTACATGCCAACAACGAGCTGGCACAGTTTTTGAAAAATCGTGAACTATCCTGTCGAGAATGGATACACCGCCCCTTTCTCTTCTACATACTCCACCAATCGCCAGAAGATGAACACTATGGTCGAGCTATCCCACTGGCGCAAAGGTGTCTCGAGTTATGCGTAGAGCACCTCTTCCGAACTTATGGGCATAACCGGCATCATGGCACGTGGTATATTGCACGTTCCTGTGTGACCAAAGCTTTGATCTTGCTGGCTGCGGCGAAGAGTGGTCGCATAACGCTCCCTCCAGGCTGGAAGGAGGCACTGGAAATTGCACGATGGACAGTAAATCGGTGGGCAGGTGAAGCTCCGGACCTTGAGTGGGCCCAGAGAATATTGGAGAGTATTGTAGGAGAGGTTGAAAAGAATGCGTAGAAAGTGTATAAGACACGATGATGAAGCGGGGGCTGCCCGTAAACAGCTGTGTCTCTGATTGGTGGCGTAGCCGCTCATATCTCAGCCGCAGCTAGGCTTATTTTCTCACTTTCACAACATTACTTTCACTCTTCCTCTGCTTGCACAGAGAGGCCTGTATGATAAGTACCGTAACTGGTAAATAGTCATGACTGAACCACAACCCGAGGCTGATCAAGGCCAGCCTTACAAATACCGGGCACTTGAGTCTCCACTCCATATTAGGCTGATTCATATATTGCCCGACGAGCCTGACGAGGATATTCGACTACAGATCTCACATGAACTTCTGAGGCAACCGGAGCAACTGAGGTCACTACGTCTATCCCGAAAGCAACTACAAAGAACGCTCCCTCCAGGATGGGAAGTCGTTGAAACCATCGAAGGCAGATTCATCTTCATGAGCAAGTCTGACGACACATCAAGTGGGGACAAAGATGAAAGTGAGGCAAGCGATGAAGGAAATGGAATTATACATACTTGGAAACACCCAGACCCTGCTATGGACCCAGCACTGTACGAGCTCCCACCTCTAAATCCCACACAACCAGCATTCGAAGCTCTATCCTATGTCTGGGGCCGGCAACGTGACCCTGTGGTCGCCACCGTCGAGGGAGAGGGAGGTGAGTCTCTGGGAAACATCAAGCTTGGGAAGAACCTAGCTACGGCACTCAGACACTTGAGATACCAAGATAAAGAGCGCGTGCTGTGGGTGGATGCTATCTGTATCAACCAAAACGACGATACCGAAAGGGCCACTCAAGTTCTTCGGATGTCGAGTATTTATCAGGACTGCAGCCGAGTTGTCATCTG